TCTCCAACAGGGCCCGTGTTGCACCCCGAGCCGCTTCTTGGCGGCCCCGCGGGCCCGGCAAGGGCTCCCAGGGGACGCAGCTCGAGCACATCCTCCCTCCCGTGATTTGCCCTTCTGCTCCGTGGGCGCTGCCCCTCTGGAGGCAAACTCCTGCCTCGTTCGTTCGTGCTCCCGCGGCCGCCCTCCCCCCCGCCGCGCAGGACGAGACCAGCTCCACGCGCGACGCGAGCGCCGCGGAGGCGCCCGAGGCCGCGGGCGAGCTCAGCGCGCAGGCGGGCCGCCGCCGCGGGATCGGGGGCGTGCCGCCGCCGCCCCGGGTGGTAGAGCTCGTGGTGATGATGGTGATCGTGATCGTGATGGTGATGGCGGTGATGATGGTGAGGAGGAGGAGGAGGCTGGTGATGATGATGATGATGATGATAATGCTGATGATGAGGATGATGAGGATGAGTGTGATGATGATGATGATGATGATGATGATGATGATGATGATGATGATGATGATGATGATGGTGATGATGATGGTGATGATGATGGTGATGGTGATGGTGATGGTGATGACGGTGGTGGTGGTGGTGGTGGCGATGGCGACGGTGGCATAATGGCGGCGATGGTGAGATGATGATGGCTGTGGTGGAGGTGGTGATAGTGATGATGATGAGGACCATGATGATGATGGTCGGGGTGATGCTGAGCATGCGGGTTGTGGTGACGAGTCTGATGCAGCTGAAGATGACGTTGAAGGCGGGCACGCTAATGAGTGTGATGTTGATGGCGCAACTGATGGTGATGATGATGATGATGCTGATGATGATGATGATGATGATGATGATGATGATGATGATGATGATGATGATGATGATGATTATGCTGCTGATGATGATGGTGCTGCTGGTGATGATGATGCTGATGAGGAGGAGTATGAAGAGGAGGATGAGGAGGAGGATGCGGATGATGATAATGGTGAGGACGAGGATGCGGATGCGGATGCGGATTAGGATGAGGATCTGAGGATGATGATGAGGACATCGATCGTGATGGTGGGTGTGACGCATACGATGAGGGTGGTAGTAAGGACGATGTCGATGATGATGATGATGATGATGATGATGATGATGATGATGATGATGATGATGATGATGATGATGATGATGAGTATGATGTTCGGGATGGTTGCGCCCGCTTGTTTGGAGTGTGAACATATGTGCACTTGACATGCTAATGATTACAATGTTGGCTACGATGGGGAAAGCGACGACTATGATGGCCGTTGGGGTGGCGAGCATGACCACGGTGATGCTGACGATGATGTTGCTGCTGCTGCTGCTGATGACGATGATGGTGGTGGTCATGATGGTGATGATGATGATGCTGATGATGAAGATGATGGTGATTGCGATGGTGATGGTGATGGTCATGATGATGCTGCTTGGACCAGCGCCGACCAAGGAAATCCGCGCGGACCTCCAAACGTTTATGCCTAATACCGCGTTTCTTCCTCCTCCTCCTCCTCCTCCTCCTCCTTTTCCTCCTCCTCCTCCTTTTCCTCCTCCTCCTCCTTTTCCTCCTCCTCCTCCTCCTCCTCCTCCTCCTCCTCCTCCTCCTCCCCCTCCTCCTCCCCCTCCTCCTCCCCTCCCACGTCCACGCGGGGCTTTCTGGCCGGAGGGGCCCGCGGAGGGGCGGCGGAAGCGAGGCATGGAAGGGGCGGAGGAGCAGGGGCGGCTCCCGAAGGGAGGCCAAGCACCGCCAGAGCACCCAGGGTTTCACCAGTCGGTCGGGCGCCTCGCGGAGGGGGCAGCGCGACGGACGCTCTGATCCTCTCGCGAGTGGGCCGTGCGCGTCGCCGTCTGGGCAGAGGGGAGGGGGGGTAAGCAGACGTCTCGCTCGTGTCCTTTCGGCGGACGCTCTTGTTCTCTCTCTCTCTCTCTTGCCCTCCCCGTCTGGGAAGAGGGGAGGGGGACAAGCGGGGCTGATCTCTGTAGGTGTCCTCCTCTGGGAGGGTCGCGGGAGAGGGATGGGATGCGAGGAGGATTGTCTTGCTGTCGTAAGGTTCTGGGGTGCTCTGGTGGGCCCCAGGGGCTTCTGGCGGGCCCCTGCCCCGAACGCAGTCCGAGGGCGGATCGCCCTCCTCGTCGTCCACGCCCCAAGAGGGCAAGGGTGACGACTTCCACATCGGCGGCTAGAATGGATCGGGGCAATGATGAGAGACCCCTCTCCGCCCTGGTTGCCCCTCTGCGGCGCTCAATGGGCGTCCAAGAGAAGTCCTCGTCAACCTCCTCCCCATGTTCCTTCATCTTCTTCTCGTCATCCTCGTTCTCTTCCGTTCTCCCTTCCCTCGTCGTCGTCCTCCTCTTCCGTCTCGCCCATCTTCGTTTCACCAACAAGTGGCTTGCACTTTCGGTTGATCGAAAACCCTAGCGGTTCGTGATTTGTATGTTCGCTCGCGCAAGGGTGATGCGGTCGCAGTTCGCAGCTGAGTATTTGCATGCCATGCGTCCTGCTTCGTACGGTCGCGCATGCAATTCGCAGATGCATGGAATTTTCATTTGCCATGTCGATGCGCTCCATTTGTTTTAACTATAGTTGTGGATTTGCATGGTAAGTTTTCACATGCATGCCCAAATCCTCTTCACCGTCAGCGGGTAAACTGGTGCATCTAGCCAGGACAGTGCAATGGTCAGCGCACCGTTATCGGGCCCGTTTTGCCGCCGTCTTGGGGGCCTCTGGGCGCTCCTGGAGGTCTCGGGGGCTGCAACTGGCACTGCGAAAAGCCGGGCGTGGTGAAAGCGTCGAGCGACCCCCAAGGTTTGACAGTCATGCCTGCGTGTCGTGTTGCCCCATGCCTTGAACCATTCCAGGCCTCCGGGCGCAGAGGAGGAGGATGAGGAGGAGGAGGAGGAGGAGGAGGAGGAGGCAGCGACCCAGCCGCAGCGTGCATGCGTGCCTATGCGCGCAGCAGGAGGTGCTCGCCACATTGGCCTGGCCTCCCGCCCCCGGACGGGGATGGGGTCACACAGGGGGGGGGGACCCTTGCCAAGAAGCATCCTGCTTGCCTCCAGGGTGCCCTGGGTTCCTTGGGTCTCCCTGGCTTTGTGATGGAGAGCGTGACGCTCCCACACCAAAGATCAATGGACGTGTCCTGGGGTCTCAGGGTTGGGTTTCACGTGGAAGGTTTCTTGGGGACTGGCCTCCACTGTGCTATCTCATGGTCTTCGGGCCCGTTCCACCACCGTGCCAGGGTTGTGGGTCCGAGTTCTCAGGGGTGCTTCTTGGGGTCTCTTCGGAGCGCTCTCGGAGGCCTCTTGGGGGCAGCTTCCGGGGCCTCTTGGGGGCCTCTTGGGGGCCTCTTGGGGGCCTCTTTGTGGGCCCCTTGGGACTTCTTCGGGCCTATCGTGGCCGAGGGCTCGGAATGTCCGCTCGGGTAGCCGTCTCTGGAGCCTCTTGGGTCGTCTTGAGCGGCGTCTTGGTGCGGTCCTTGGGCGTCTCGGGCCCCACTTGGACCGTCTCGGGGGCCTCTTGGGGCTCTCTCGGCCTGTCCCAGGGGCCCCTTGCGCCCCGACGGGTCATGCGACGAGGTGCGCCGGAGCCCAGGGGACACGCGGAGAGCCCCGAGTGATCTGGTGGTTTGGGCTCCAGGCCCCTTAAAGCCCTCAGGATCGAGGACTGAGCCTCCTTGGCATCGCTCGGGCGTGTGCATTTGGCCTTCGGCGAGGACCATCGAGGAGCATCCTTGATCGTTTGGCGAAGCAACCACACACGAAACCGAAAAAAACACGGGGAATGGACGTCCGAGCGATGCCCAGAAACCCGTAGGATCGAGGACTGAGGCTCAGGGGATCGGGCAGAGGACCCGTGAACGCGCCCACCCCGTGCCCAGCGACACGGCGGCGGAACACATGGGATCGCACGTGCAGCGTGGAGCTCTCAGCGTGGAAAGCCAGCCGAACGTGACATACACCGCTTCCTCAGCACTGGTCTATCCGCACGCATGGAACGCACGGTAAAACGAACAGCATCTGGGCGCACGACCAACAGCACAATCACGGAACAGCCACGCACAACCATCGGATAACCGCATGGGGCAGCCGCAAGATAACGAAGAAAGTATTTCACCGGACAACGCCACGGGACATCCACACAGGATCATCATGGGACGAGCACGAGAAAGGACGGGGCAACCTCGAGACAACGAAGGGACAAGTGCGCAGGACAACCACACGGATCATCCTTACAGGACAATGGCAGGAAGAACCACGGGACAACCACAAGGCAACCACGAGAACACCCAGGAAGCGCCGAGGCAGGCACGGAGGGAAATCAGTCTGACCGATGTTGCCTTGGACAGGGCAGGATATCTCTCGCCTTCGCGCCGCTTTGCATGAACCGCACGGCTGCTTCGAGCCGAAGCAGGTTTCCTGGCTCGGGGCCTCCATGTCTCTTCGGTCTCAACCCCCCAACCTCCGATCTCAGCAGACCACCGTCTAATGTCGTTTGTTTGCTGTCTGATTGTGGCAGCACCTTGGGCGCCGACGTCGAACAAAAAGAGAGCATGCTCAGCAATCGCTTCGAATGCTTACAGGCGTAAATCGCCTTCAACGCTGGGGCACGAACGATAGAACCCCTTTCGCACCAAGACTGTGCCAACAGCCACCGCGTCAGCCTCGCCTCTAGCATACCCCTCCTGACGCTGACTCAGGCGGCCGTCTTGTTCTGCGCTCGGCACCAAGGCCCTTGGCCTCCCTGGACATTCGTCCAGGGAGGCTTGTGAAAGCTAGGTAGAAGTTTCATTATAAAGGTGGAGAGGAGAGGGGTCTGACAAATACGGCTGGGACGACGGGAGGCACTGCGACTAAAGCGGACGATGAAGCCTCCTTGTCTTCCTTTCTTCGTCCTCTTCCGTCAGTCGAGCCGTCGCGGCTCAACACGAACTTATTGTCCGCGTCTAAGTACCATTCCTTTTGCGCAGCACATTCTCGAGCCGCGCATCATCATCGTGCACCATGGTTGCAGCCGGGGACATGGTCAAGGCCAGCGTTCTAGCGGCCATCCTGCCGCGGCTGCGCTCCCTTCAGGCGAGCGACGGCGGGAAAGCAGGCGCGATCGCGCGGACGTGCGCGCGGGAGCTGCCCGCGCCGGGTCACGCGTGGGCGCCCTCGTCTTCAGCGCAGCCTGCCGCACAAGGCGGCCCGCGCAGGCCACCGCGTCAGGCCGCTGTGCCATCGTGCGCGAGGCCCGCTTCCCGTCCGTCGCTCAGGTGACCTCCTGCGGCGGCGCGGCGCAGACCTTTGAGGACTTCGTGCAGAGGCGAGGGGCGCAGTCGTCGTCACCACCACCACCACATGTAGGACGGGGGAGAAGGGAGGACGAGAAGGTCCTCCTCCTCCTCCTCCTCCTCCTCCTCCTCCTCCTCCTCCTCCTCCTCCTCCTCCTCCTCCTCCTGCTCCTCTTCCTCCTCCCTCTCCTACACATGGCAGTGGTGGTGGACCATGGGCCCATCCAGAGGCACGAGCGCCAGTACCCCCTCGGCTCCGAGGAGTACGCGCGGCGCCGGGCCCTTTTCGAGGGCAGGGCCGCCCACGTCGCCAGCCACAACTGCGCCGAGCGGCCGTGGGAGGCCGCGGTCAACCACCTCTCGGACTGGACCGAGGAGGAGCTGCAGGGCCTCCGCGGCTTCCGGCGCGGCGCGGGCCGCCACGCGGGGCGGGCGGGCACCGCGGGCGCCTCCCCCGTGCGGCTGGACGCCGACGACGCGAGCCTGCCTACGACCTTCAGCTGGGGCCACCTGAGCGCCATCTCGTCGCCCACGGACCAGGGCTCCTGCGGCAGGAGCCCTCTTTGCTGCTGCTGCCGGATGGAGAGGAGAGGCGACACTTCACCGGGGGGGGCCACCTCGGGCGAGGGGGTCCACTCTGCCTCCCCAAGCTGGGGATGAGGGGTGTCTCGAACGAGAGGGAGAGCCACTCCACCAGGAAGACTCCCATCCCCGGCTCCTCGTGCTGGTGGTGATGGTGTCGCTTTTCTTTATTCCTTTGCTGTTTGCTTAAGCCAAAAGCCCTCTGGCCGTAACGGCCGTTGCTGGGGTGGGGTGGGGGGCCCGGAACGTGACGACTTGCGCCGGCGCCGTCTGGGAATGGCCAGGGCTAGGGACGGCGACCTGAGGACGCCTGCGGAGGCCCCTGGAGGCCTCCGTAGACTACGGCATGCCTGAGAGCACCACACTTTGCCGGCGGCCACGGCGCCGCGGCGGGCATCGTGACTTTAGCAAGGGGTCCCCACCGCGATTTGAAACGCTCCAGTTGCTGGGCCTACGCCGCGGGCGCGGTGCTCAACGCGCACGCCGAGATCAGCAACAACAGCCAGAAGTATTCGATCAGCCAGATCATCGCCTGCACCCCCAACCCGCAGCACTGCGGGGGCTCTGGAGGCTGCGACGGAGCCACGGTGACGCTGGCCTACGAGTACGCGCTGACCAGCGGCCTCGTGTCGGACGCCGAATTTCCAGCCCTGCCAGGTGGCGCTGCGGCAGAGTGCCCTGCGGACCAGACGGCGCACAACGCGTTGTTGTCCACCGGCTTCGCCTCGAAGGCAATGGTCATGCCAGACGGGTCCGAGACGCATGTGTTGGCCGACCTGGCCGACGGGATGCGCGGGGGCAAGGCGATGGGCATGCTTGGCTGGACCAAGCTGCCCATGAACAAAGAGCTGCCCATGGTGAGTGCGCTGGTGGAGTACGGGCCGCTCGCGGTTGCAGTGGCCGCAGGCCAGGAGTGGAATTGGTACTCCCACGGTGTGCTCACGCCTGACGGCTGCGACCCGGCCCACGTCATCAGTCACGCTGTCGTGCTGTACGGGTACGGAAGGATCATGAGCAAGAAGTACGGGGAGGTGGCGGGCAGGACTTCTATCCATATCCACTGCGTCTTGGAGTTTCGGGATCCCTTCTCCAGAGACCTGATGCGCTGTGGATATAGATCTAAATCTGGCCCCTCGATGCCAGACTGTTATTCACATCCACTGCACCTTGGCCTTTTGGCGCCCTTTCCCAGAATGTCCAAGACGCAGTGGATATGTGTAAAAATCTTGCCCGCAGAGGTGAAGTACTGGCACATAAAAAACTCGTGGGGAAGCAGCTGGGGAGAGAACGGCATGCTCCGCCTGCAGCGCGTGGACAACGAGGACGAGCAGTGCGGCTGGGACAACCAGCCCGATGTCGGCTCTGGCTGCACGGGGGGACCCTCGAAGGTGTGGGTCTGCGGCTCCTGCGGCATCCTCTTCGAGACCGTGATGCCGAGGTTCCACTAGCCGTCGCTGGGCATTCCCCGCCGTCGTCCGGTGCATGCTCCGCCAGCGATGGCTCCTGGGGCCTCCTTCGCTCCGATTCGTCGTCTGAGCCCGTCGGGCGACCACTAGTCTTGCGTTCCGCTCTCGCCCGCTCGAGTGTCTGCCGGGCACCACCTCGCAGGCCTCGAGAGGGCGCTCATGGCTGGAAGCGCTGACGAAGCGCTTCGAGCTCCCGTTGTTCCCGAGGCTGTGCCTTCGCGCGGTCCGTTGCTGTGGCCAGCTAGGCCTCCAGGCGCCAGGCGCACCGCAGCCTCCCCTTCCCAGGGTGCGTGGGTAAATCATTGAAAGCATGCGTCTGAAGCATCAGCACCCCATTCGCGCGGACCATCGCCTTCTTCGCAAACTTCGACATGTTTTCCAAGGTGCTGGCCGTGTGTGTGTGTGTGTGTGTGTGTGTGTGTGTGTGTGTGTGTGTGTGTGTGTGTGTGTGTGTGTGTGTGTGTGTGTGTGTGTGTGTGTGTGTGTGTGTGTGTGTGTGTGTGGTTGTGTGTGTGTGTGTGTGTGTGTGTGTGTGTGTGTGTGTGTGTGTGTGTGTGTGTGTGTGTGTGTGTGTGTGTGTGTGTGTTGTGTGTGTGTGTGTGTTGTGTGTGTGTGGGGGGGGGGGCGCGTGGTAGTGGGCAGCGGGCGGGCATGGCGATTTGGGATAGTGTTGTTTTGGGGATCACATGGGTACCCGAACCTGCTATCGCACGGAGCTACCGGACGCACATGCATAATAGTGTGATGTAAGCGCACATGTGGAGTCACATTTCATGGCGCTCGTGGAGACGTGAATGTGAGTATGTCGATGCCCACGTGGCATGCACATGACTCTGCGCAGGCGCATGCCAGTCCGAGCTGGAAGTGCAGCTAGGGATTGCGATTTGAACGTGGTGCCGGCACGTGGGCCCAAGCAGCTTGCGAGGGCTGTTCGGGGGGGAACCGCGGCACCAGACGTGAGCCACCACCCCCCAAGCAGGGGCACTGCAGGCCAGGGCCCTCTCCTGCGGGACCCTCCCAGCATTCTCAGGACAGCGACCCCGCGGAGGCAACAGCATGGACAGCCACCATGGCAGCCACCACGCTAAGGCAAGTGAGTAAGGCCCAAACCTGGTGGACGCGACCAAGTAGGTGGCACGCGATGTGTGGGACCGTATAGGCAACCAAGCAGGGCAACAAATATGCATGGGATTCTACAGTTACCCTTGGGGCTGGATTTTGCGTGCAGGACCGTTCGGGCAACCTCCAGGGGAGCCATTGCGAACGGCAATTCAGGCTATGACATGTGGGACCCAATTGTCCAATAGGCAACCACATTGCCACCAGGAGAGCCACCGCGCGAGGGCCACGAAGATGGTTGCGAAACCGATTGGCAACCATCAACAGATCTGTATAGACATAGATATGCATAGACATATCACGCAGGGGCAGTGGCCTTTGGGCGGAATCTTCTGGGTGGCCACCCTGAGAGGCACCATGCGGGGGGAATCGAGGCTTTGACCCTGACAGCAGAGCCTGCGGGCAACCGCCAATAGAGCCACCAGTCAAGGGCAACTGAGGCTCGGGACTTTTTGATTGCAGTTGAAGGGTTTGGCCCATCTTGCAAACGGACAGGTTGCTAAATCAGAGCACCTTGTTTCAAGCGATCGGCACCAAGTCGTTTCATGATATCAAGAAGTATGTGCGCTATGCATTCCACTGGTGTTCGTGGCTGGTGCGTGCTAATGATGATAGTGCTTGACGTATGTGGTTTGTGTACAGCATTGGATCATGTTACTAATGTGTGTTATGGTTCGCTGTTATGTGGGTGTGTATGCTACTGGCGGCCGTTATTGATGCATCCCTTGGTGTATATTAGTGGTACCTGCTCTTGCTGCATGCTATGCTGCAAAGCAAGATTGTGCGCCATTGGTGTATGTTACCGATCTGCGCTCTTGAAGCACGTCCTGAACTGATGCTCTTCGTGTCTTTTTCTCGTCGCTCGTGGACGTCGTCACGCCGTGGCGCCTCCCTGGTGGGGTAGTCTCTTACTGACGCTTGTTCTTGAGCTTTGGTTTCTGCTTCCCTTCCGAAGAAATCGCCCCGAATGTCGTTCTGGCGGCTCCGTGCTCGCCGTCGCCGCCCCGTCGCCGCCTCGTCGGCGCCCGTCGCCTGGGCCTGGAATATCGGTCGGGCGGCTCCGCGCTCGCCGTCGCCGCCCCGTCGCCTCGCCGCCTCGCGGACCTCATGAGCGCCCGTCGAGTGGGCCCGATTGCCGGTCTGGCGGCTGTGTCGTCGCCGTCGCCGCGCCCCCGTCGACGTCGCCGCCTCGTCACCTCGTCTTATAGACAGCACCACATAGATTCTCCTGTCCAGAAGGGTTTTCGGATCCCCCCTTGGTGTGAACGGTCGCCTTTTTCGTCTTGCCATGTGCATATGGTTCTGCCCCATCGTCCATCCGAAATATGAACTCATACCATCCCAGGCAGGCCAGAGATCGCACCCCCCCTCATCCTCCGCCAAAATAGCGGAAAGAGCGAAGTACGAGCGATGACGTTCTGGTGGGGCGAAGCCTTCTAGGGAGGGGTCCAGGGGAGGGGCGAGGGCCGCGCGTTTGGGCTGGGGGGCCTTTATCTTTGTATTTTTTCGAGTAAAGCGGCTCGCGGGCGCCTTCGCAGCACGTTTCCTTTTTATTTGTTCGAGTGACGCGGCCCAAGGGCTTCAAGACGGCCCAAGAGGGCACCAAGACGACCCCGAGAGAGCCTCAGATGGCTTCCAGACGGTCCAAGAGAGCCTGCAGACGGCTCCAGAGGCCCTCGAGAGGGCCCCGCAGAGGGCCTGAGGAGGCCACACACTTGGATGTTTCTATTTGTTTTTGCAGGTTTCTCTGGTTCTCCCTTTTTTCGGCGGGTCCAGAAGGGCCCCAGACGGCCCAAGAGGCCCCAAAGATCGTCCCAAGAAGACGGCCCCAGAGGCCCCCCCATAGGAGAGGGCCCAAGACGGCCCCAGAGGGGGCCCCAAACGGACCAAAAGGGCCCCAAGACGGTCCAAGAGGGCCCGAAGACCCCCCTGAGCCGCCCACCCCCTCCCCGTGCTGCTGCCCGAGGAGGAGGAGGAGGAGGAGGAGGAGGAGGAGGAGGAGGAGGAGGAGGAGGAGGAGGAGGAGGAGGAGGAGGAGGAGGAGGAGGAGGAGGGGGAGGAGACGAGGCCAGGGGGGGAGAGGCGGGCACGAGCGGGCCGCCCAGGCCTTCCGAAAGGCGCACCAGATCGTCGTCGGCACGGACTGCCCCGCGCCGGTGCAGACCTTCGACGCGGTGGAGGCGCACTTTGGCAAGACGCTCGTGAAGGCGCCCCGCGCAGGCGACTTCTCGCCCACACTCCCCGAGTTTCGTGGGCGAGAGACCTGTGCGCACGCGCGGCCTCGCGGGCCAGGCCCCTGAGGGCCGCTACTCCGGGGATGCCCCGCGCGGAGCGCGGAGCGCATTTGTGCAACCGCGGATACGCGGGATCGCGCCTCGGGATCCAGACCAAGAGGGCGCGGATACGGCCATGTTCGCCGTTCATGAGGGCCCCCCCCTCTCCGACCCCAAGCCGTTCATTGTCGCCTTCACATTGGATTTCCCAGAGTTCGGCTCGATGCTGTCGCTGCACCGATCCGTCAACTCGAGGAACTGGGGGACTTTACACCTCTGAGCCTCCGCTTCGACCAAGGTACTATCTGCATAACAGGCGGAGGAGGAGGAGGAAGATCTTCGATTCCTCGTCTTCTTCCTCCTCCTCCTCTTCAGGGGAGGAGAGGGAGGAGGAGGCGGATCCTCTATCCTGCTCTCCTCCTGTTTTGGGGAAGGAGGAGGAGGATCGTGGATCCTCCGTTTTCCCCATCCTCCCTCCTTTCCTCCCCTCGATGTATCAGCGTTGTGAGCTTTCTGTCTGCACAGCGTATGTGAGATGTGACTATTTGCTTCTCGTGGTGCTGAGTCCTGAGTCCCGTCCTCCTTCTTTCCCCCCATCCATACCACATCCCTCAGGATGCAACCTCTTGGAGGCTAAAGGCGGCGCTGGTATCTCCGTGGTCGAAATCCAGCCCAGTCCAACATAATCCCAGTTCGGTTGAATCCACCTTGACCCCAGGCTTCATCTGGGACAGCCCGGCTCAGTGCCCCCTCCGTCGGGGCTATCATCCCGCAGTGGTTCTTACGCAGACCTCCCAGAAGCTGCCTGACATCCCTTTTTCAAGAGCTGTCGGGCGAAGAGAACTATGCACATGCACCGATCCTGACAACGTCCATCCTTGACCCAGGATCGGTGCATATACCTTCCTGGCCAAGGTAGGAGGGCGTATGCACCGATCCTGGGCTCAGGATGGGCCTGGCCAGAATCGGTGCATGTGCATAGTTCTCTTCCCTCTAAGCTGGCCCCTACTCGGTCCCCGAACCCCTCCGGGACCCCACCCTGACTGGCGCTGCGACGCGGACCCGGCCGCGGCGACGCGACGCCTCTCCCCACGAGGTCCGGAGAGGACGGAAACCACGCCATAGGGAGGGCAGCCGCCCTCCCGACGGGCCCCCCCGTCCATGCCCGGCCGGCTCCCCCCCTGCCCCACGCCCCCTGTCGATCCCGCCCTCCTCCTCCTCCTCCTCCTCTCTCCTCCTCCTCTCCTCCTCCTCCTCCTCTCATCCTCCTCCTCCTCCTCCTCATCCTCCTCCTCCTCCTCTCCTCCTCCTCCTCTCCTCCTACTCCTCCTCCTCCTCTCCCCCCGCCCCCGCCCCCGCCGCTCCCACCACCCCCGCCCTCTCTGCCGGCCCTATGGCCCATGACGGGACTGCGGCCTCAGCGACGGCACCACGCGTGGCTGCAGCCGGCTACAACCGAGGGAGCGGGAACTGCTGGAACAGAATCCTGCGAGCTGCGCATCGCCCTGAGGAGGCGCCTGGCGCGCGAAGCTTCGCACGCGAGGCCATGTCCGATGAGTTCTCGGTGGCGGTGGTCCACGCCATGTTTTTTCCCCAGAAGAACGATGCGTTCCTCTGTTCCCAAGGTTCCCCCCCAAGAACTCCCCAGAGCCCCAATAGTTCTGTTACAAGTGTTCTGCACCGCCTGGCGCCGCTAGATATGCGGGGAATCTCAGACAGCATCTTGAAGCAGTCCTGTCATGACACCATTAATGGAGGATGACGATTAATAAATGACCGGGGTTCGTGTTCACGCGGCGGCGCCCAAGATGACGATTAGAACAAACCGGCCGCGGGCTGGAAAACTATTCTTTTAATCGTTCTCCTCCAGTCCGAAAATTCTGCAGAAATAGCGAACAGTATGCTTTTAATCGTTCTCTCCAATTTTTGTATCAATCGTCATCCCGCATGATCGCCCCAGTTCTCCTCTGAGCGCCCAGAGCCGGTCCGATCTTTGCGGTCCCTCGAGCGCTCTTCCCCCTCCCCCCCCCCGCGCCCCGGGGGGAGG